GGATTGGGGGGGAGTTGGGGGGCAGGAGGCAGTTGTGGGTCCAGGAGGCGCAGCTGTGGGTTGCGGAGGCAGTTGTGGGTCTGGGGGCAGTTGTGGGTCCTGGGGGGGCGGTTGTGGGTCTGGATGGAGTGCTTGTGGGTCGAAGGGAGGGTGGTTGTGGGTCCCCAGGGGGGGATATGTGTCCGGGGGGCAATTGTGGGTCTGAGGGGGCAATTCTGGGTCCAGGGAGGGCAGTTGTGGGCCCAGGGGGTCAATTGTGGGTTAGGGGTGGCAGTTCTGGGTCCTGGGAGGGCAGTTGTGGGTCCCAAGGAGGGGATGTGGGTCAGAGGGGGCAGTTGTGGGTCAGGGGGGGCAGTTGTGGGTCACCCTCCCCCCAGGGCACAGCCGGGGGGGCCCCCCCGCGTCGTGGCCGTCGACCTCCAGGCGATGGCGCCGCTGCCCGGGGTGCTGCAGATCCAGGGGGACATCACCAAGGTGCGTGACCCACAGCGCCCTATAGAGACCTATAGCGCCATGGGGACCCATAGCGACCCATAGTGACCCACGGAAATGTGTGGGGACTCATAGTGACCCATAACGCCCCATAGCGGCCCATAGTGACTTGTGGGGACCTATAGCAACCCATACCAACCTGTAGCACCCCATAACAACACAAGGCTACCCATGGTGACCTGTGGTGACCCACAGAAACCCATAGCAACCCATAGAGACTTGTGGGGACCCATGGTGACCCATAGTACCCTTTAGCCATCCTTGACTGCCCTTAGAGACCCATAGTAACCTGTGGGGACCTATAGCGACCCATAGCAACCCATAGTAACCTGTGGGGATCCATTGCAACCCACAGTGACCCACAGAGACGTGTGGGAACTCATAGCGACCCATAGCAACCCATAGAGACTCATGGGGACCCATGGTGACCTGTAGCACCCCATAGCGGCCCACAGTGACCCATAGCACCCTTTAGAAAGCYTTGATGACCCATAGAGACTCATAGCTACCCATAGTGACCCATGGGGATGTGCAGCACCCCATAGCGGCCCATAGAGAACCATGGGAACCTATAGAGACCCGCCGCGACTCATAGCAACCCATAGCRACCTGTAGAACCCCACAGCAACCCATGGGGACCCCTAGTGCCCCACAGTGACCTAAAGCGCCCCATAGTGCCCCATAGCACCCCGCAGCGCCCCTCACACCGCCGCCCCACCAGGCCTCCACCGCCCGTCGCATCCGCGACCTCTTCGAGGGGCTCCCGGCCGACCTGGTCGTCTGCGACGGGGCCCCCGACGGTGAGACCCGAAACTGCCCCGATTCGCCCCAAAATCACCCCAGAACCCCTCAATTCACCCCAAAATCCCCCTGAACTGCCGCAAAATTGCCTCAATTCACCTCAAAATCACCATGAAACCACCCCGATTTGCCCCCAAATCACCCAAGAACCCCTCAATTCACCCCAAAATCACCCCGACACCCCCGATTCACCCCTAAATCTCCCCAAAATCACCCCAATTCATCCCCAAACTGCCCCGATTCACCCCCAAAGTCACCCCCAACCCCACCTCCCACCCTCCCTGCCCCTCCAGCTCCAAAATTACTGAATTTCCTCCCAAAACCCACTGCCCCCCCGACAGTGACCGGCCTCCACGACCTCGACGAGTTCATCCAGGCTCAGCTGCTGCTGGCGGTGAGACCCCAGAACCCTGGAATTTACCCCAAGCCCCCCCCCGGGGGTGCCCACCCCTATAGACAGAAGGGGGGGTCCCCTATAGTCCCTATCGTCCCCTATAGTCCCTATAGTCCCTATAGGATAAGGAGGGTTCTCACCCTAACCCCCCCCCAGGCCCTCAATATCACGACCCAGGTGCTGCGGCCGGGGGGCACCTTCGTGGCCAAGGTGAGCTGAAAAATGGAGTTTTTGCCCCCCAAACCCCAAATTGCCGCATTTGGCCCCAAAGTGGGGCTGGGGGGCCCCGTCACGGGTTTTTGGCTCATTTTGGGCGGTTTCGGCAGGTTTTCCGCGGCAAGGACGTGACGCTGCTCTACGCCCAGCTCGGCCTCTTCTTCCCGTCGGTGACGTGCGCCAAGCCGCGGAGCAGCCGCAACTCCAGCATCGGTGAGACCTATAGGGTCTATAGGGGCCCTAGAGAGGCTATAGGGGTCCTAGAGGGTCCCTATGGGTGTCTGGGGGTCCCTAGAGCCCTCCCTGCCCCAGGGGGCCAAGCCACGGAGCAACTGCAATTCCAGCATCGGTGAGACTTGTAGGGGGCCTATAGGGTCTATAGGGGTCCTGGAGGGTCTCTATGGGGTCTGTGGGGGTTGTTTAGGGTCCCTATGGGTGTCTGGGGGTCCCTAAGACCGTGGAGCAGCTGCAATTCTAGCGTTGGTGAGACCTATAGTGCATATAGAATCCATAAGGTTTGTGAGGTTCTTATGGGACCTTACATGCTATAAGATATGCTGTAATGACCTTACATGCTGTGCTGTAAGATTCCTATGGGGTCTATAGAGCTTTTTCAGGTCTTTTATAGCTCCTATGGGGTCCGTGTGGGTGCCTGGGGGTCCCTAGAACCTGCCTTGCCCCAGGCACCCATCCCCGGAGCAGCTGCAACCCCAGCATCGGTGAGACCTATAGGATCTATAGGGGATCTATGGGCTATATAGGGGTCCTAGAGGGTCCCTATGGGTGCCAGGGGGTCCCTAAGGCCCCGGAGCAGCCACAACTCCAGCATTGGTGGGACCTGTAGGGGATCTATAGGTTTCCTATGAGGTCTATAGGGTCCCTATGACATCCATAGGGGTCCTATAAGGTCCCTATGGGTGCCTGGGGGTGCCTAGAGCCCTCTCCACCCCAAGCACCCAGCCACGGAGCAGCCGCAACCCCAGCTTTGGTGAGACCTATACGATCCATAGGTGATATATAGGGTCTCTATGGGGTTTGTAGGGATCCTACACGGTTTATATGGGTGCCTGAGGGTCCCTAAGGCTCTGGAGCAGCAGTTCCAGCATCAGCGAGGCCTATATGATCTATAAGGTCTGTGGGCGTCCTATAGGGTGTCTATGGGATCTATAGAGATCCTACAAGGGTTCTATAGCTGCTGTAGGGTCCTTAAGGGTATCTGGGGGTCCCTATAGCCCCTGCCAAGGCACCCAGCCGCCAAGCAGCCACAACCCCAGCATCGCTGCATCACTTACGGGATCTATAGGGGATGTATAGGGTCTATAGAGGGTTTATAGCATCTGTATGGGTCCTATAGGATCCTTATGGGTGCCTGGGGGAGCCTGTAGCCCCCCCGGGCACCCAGCCCCGCAGCAGCTGCAGCATCGGCGTGCGACCTATAGCATCTATAGGGGCCCTGTGGGGTCTATAGGGGCCCTATAAGGTCCCTATAGGATCCCAAGGTGCCCCTCCCCTCAGAGGCCTTCGTCGTCTGTCGCGGCTTCCGCCCCCTCCCCGGCTACGACCCCGCCCAGGAGCCCACCCCGCTGGAGCCCGGGAGCGGTGCGGAGGGCGGGGCCAAGGAGGGGCGGGGCCAAGGAGGGGCGGGGCCAGTGGGGGG